CTCTCCCTCATTCATTGTACTTCCACCTGAGTGAACTGTCACCTTGACTGTTCAACTCTCCTATTCCATGCCTATCAACTTCTTGCACTCCTCAAACTTCGTAACCACTAACGCCTTGGTTAGGAAGTCTGCAGGCATCTTGGCTGTCGGGCAGTACTCGAACTTGAGTTCGCCTCGGACCACGCGCTCTCTGACAAAGTGATGACTAATGTCAATGTGCTTGCTCCTCTGCGATGTGATCGGATGCTTGATCAGTTGAAGCGCTCCCTGGTTGTCGCTCCAGACCGTCAGTCGGCCGCTCTCCAGCCCCAGGTCCGCCGCCAGCTTCCGAATCCACAGAGCCTCCTTCGCCGCGTGTGCTGCCGCCATATACTCTGCTTCCACCGTGCTGTACGCCACCGTCTGCTGCAGCTTGCTAGCCCAGCTCACAGCTGCTCCGCCCAGCAGAAAGACGTACCCGGTTGTGCTCCTCCGAGTGTCCGGATCTCCGCCGTGATTCGCGTCACAAAACCCCTCAAACTCCGGCTTCTCCGCTCCGTACGTCAGCCCCGCCTCGACCGTTCCCGCCAGGTAACTCAGCACCGACTTTGCTAGCCTCCAGTGGTCCTCCGTCGGGCTGCTCATGAAGCGCGCGAGCGAAGCCGTCGCTTGCGCCAGGTCCGGCCGCGTGCAGTTTGCCAAATACAGCAGGCTCCCCACCAGGCTCGCGTACGGGTAGCGCTCCACGTCCAGCGGCTCTCCCCGCTTCTGTACCTTCTCCCCGGGGTTTAGCGGCACCCGCCGCGCGCGCGTTGCGTCCATCCCGAACTGCTCCAGCAGGTCCAGCGCCGCTCGCTTCTGCGTCAGCTTGATCGTCCTCGCCTCTCGATCGCGCGTCACTTCCATCCCCAGGAAGTAGCGCACTGGTCCCAGGTCCCGCACCGTGAAGATCCGCCCGAGCGCTGCCTTCACACTTGCCACGACTTCCCGTTCCCCGACCACCAGGCAGTCGTCGACCCAGACCGCAGTGAACGCCGTCCTCCCGTCCTCATCTCTCCGAATGAACAGGGCAGGATCCGCGGCAGACGGCTCGAACCCCAGCTCTCTCATTTCTGCCGTCAGCTTCAGGTACCAAGCTCGCGGCGCTTGCTTCAGTCCGTACAGCGACTTCTTCAGCCGGCACGCCAGCTGCTTTCCCCCGGTCTCGAACAGCTCGGGTTGCTCCATCCAGATTTCCTCCTCCAGGTCGCCGTTGAGGAACGCCGTTTTGATGTCGAGCTGGTCCACCTCCAGGTTTTGCGCCGCCGCGACTGCCAGCAGGCTCCGAAGTGTGACGTGGCGACTAACCGGCGCGAACACCTCGTCGTAGTCCACCCCCTTCCGCTGCTTGAACCCCTTGATCACGAGACGAGCTTTGAACCGCGCGATGTTCCCGTTCTCGTCCTTTTTCAGCTTGAAGGCCCACTTGCACGGAATCGGCTTCACGTCAGGGGGAGGTTCACTCAGTTCCCACGTGCCGTTCTCCTGCAAGCTCGTGAACTCCTCTTCCAGGGCTTTCCGCCAGAGTTCCGCTTCCGGGCTTCCGAGGGCTTCTTCCAGGGTTTGCGGCTCCACCGGCTCCGTCTCTTTCGCGACGTTTGCTGTGACCCACTCCTTCGAGGAGTACCACTTACTGGGCCGCCGTTCACGCTTTTCCGGCACCGGTTCCGGTTCCGCTGTCTGTTCCGCTGGAAGTTCCGTCGCCTCGTTCCGCTCTTCCGGTTCCGCTCTCCCTCGAGTCCTCAGCTCTGCATCTTTCTCTCCCTCGGGCAGCATTGGTTCCGCTGGAACAGGGTTGACCGCCGTTGGCAGGGGCTGAGGGGTTTCCGTCTCCCAGATTCCGCTCCCCTCGTTCCGCTCCCGCTCGTCGAACGTGACGTCCTTGCTGACGACAATCGTCCGCCTGTCTGACGTCAGCAACACGCGGTATCCCTTGGTCCCCGGTTCGTACCCCAGAAAGATGCCTGGCTTTGAGACTGGGTCGAGCTTCTTCCGGCGCTGCGCGGGGGTGTGGACGAAGGCTCTGACTCCGAAGACGCGCAGGTTGCTGACGTCGGGCTTCTTTCCGAAGAACAGCTCGTAGGGCGTCTTCCCCGTCTTCTTCGTCACTGTCCGGTTTCTAACGTAATTGGCCGTCAGAATGGCTTCACCCCACCACTTTTGCTCGAGCCCGCTCTCAGACAGCATCGGCCTCGTCTTGTCCATCAACGTCCGATTCAGCTTCTCTGCGACTCCGTTCTCGGGGCTTGAGTAAGGGTTGGTCTTCTGGTGGTAGATTCCCGTCTTCGCACAGAAATCTTTGACTTCCCCGTTCCAGTACTCCCCACCCCGGTCGCTCTGAATCCGCTTGACCTTGAGCCCCAACTGATTCTCAACCAGATTCACGTAGGCCTCGAGAGCTCTTCGCGCTTGCTCTTTGGTTTGCAGCAGTTGGACCACCCCACATCGACTGTAGTCGTCGATGAACGTGACAGCATACTTCGCTCCACCAGCAGACTTGCACGGAATCGTGCCGCACAGGTCAGTGTGAACGAGCTCCAAAGGTCTGCTGCTCTCTCGGTCGCTCGGGGGGAAGGGTTTCCGCGTTTGCTTTCCCAGAACGCAGTCTTCGCACAGGGTTTCTCCAGCTTTCCGGAAGGCTTGAGGGGGGGGGAGTCCTTCGACTAGAGAGTCTCTGGACATCGTTGCCAGGGCTTCGCTGCTCGCATGACCGAGGCGTCTATGCCAGAGTCTAGCCTGCTCCACTTGGCTGATCGCGAACGCCACCGGCTCCTGCTCCACCAATCGGATTACCGACACCCCTCTCTCATTTTCTGCTTCCAGAAACTTTTCACCCTCCACGCTCAGACTCACCACGCTTTCCTCGCTGCTGAGCTTCGCACCCTTGGCCAGAAATCTGCTGAGAGAGGCCAGATTCACTTGAGCTTCTGGGGTGTACCTGACTTCTTCGAGATAAACCTCCGTTTTCTCTCCCTCGAAAGTCTCACAGAGCAAGGCCACTTTCCCGATTCCTTCGACCTTGACAGTGTCTCCAACCCCCTGAATCTCACTTGCCTCTCCCTCCTTCACTGGCCTCAGATCTGCGAAGAATTCCTTCTTGCAGCACAGATGAGCACTCGCTCCAGAGTCCAGAATCCAAACTTCAGACAGATCTTTCTCAGGAGGACTGGCGAACGCCATTGACTTCTTCATCCCTTTCTTTGAAGAACCTCCTGCTGAAGAGTCTCTGTCAGAGGACTTTCCCTTGTCCTCCCTGGAACAATTCTTCTCGACGTGACCTTTCAGTCCACATCTGTTGCATTCCTTGTTCCTGTCAGGATTCTTCGGACACTCTGATTTCCTGTGTCCTGCTTCTCCACAGGTCCAGCACTTGAAGCCTCCCTTCTTGCTCTTTCCGAAGTTCTGCTTGGGGTTTCTGCTCACGAAAGCCATTGAATTCGAAGACTCAGCTTGCTCTGATTCTTCATCTCTTTCCAGTCTGGCTTCGTGCTGCAGAAGCAGTGGGAGCATGTCATCCAGGGAGATAGCTTTATCCTGCAATTCCAGAGCCATCCTGATTTCCCTGAATGATCTGGACAGGCCACAAGCTGCTGCCAGATCTACATCCCCTGCATCCAGCCCTGCTTGGATTAGATCCCTTTTGAGGTCTTTGGCTCTTGCAACATACTTTGCAGCAGACTCTCCAGGCTCCATTCTTAGTCCTGCGAGCTTCTCCCTGAGCATCATCTTTCTTGCATTTGTCACTGACTGGAACATCCTCTGGAATTCGTTCCAAGCTGCTCTGGCTGAGCCTTCAGCGTCAGTGATGATGCCTAGATACTCCGAAGACACTCTGAGACCAATGGCTGCCAAAGCCTTCGACTGCTCCTCGGCCTCCTTGGCCTTTACCGTTGCAGATCTGCCTTCCATCTCCTCACTTGTCCTGGTCTCAGGATCGATGCACCTCTTCAGACCTTTCTCCGTCAGCAGAAGTTGCATCAGCACCTTCCATGTCTGATAGTTCTCCGCTCCCTTCAGCTTTTCGATCTGAATCTTCTCTGTCGAATCTGCCATGATCACAAACCTGATCCCTTAGAGCTTTGTCAATCTGACAACTCTTGCTCTAAGCTGCTTCCTGCCTCTAAGCTGCGTTGCTCAGGATCACTGACTTACCACGCACCCCCCAGGGGATGCTGAAAGGTAGTGGGATATTTTCCAAGGCTGTCACACCACGCACCTTGATAACCCTTATAGGGCTTCTCAGGCGCCACTCAGCTCACAGAATTCCCCGTAGAGAAATCTGATCGTAGCCAAGCGGTCCAGTTGCCTTTCAGCAAACTGACGCAGATCGCCTCCCAACAAACCAATCAGAATGGTAACAAACTTGTCAGCTATCTAATCCTTTAATGAGCGTCGTTCACCAACGGTGGTGTTGGTGGGCCCATAACCTGTTAGGCGGAAGCCATTCAGGTCATGCAGCTATACAGGTGCAGATGGTCACGAAAGGAGCATGCTTGAGAAGATGCGCTGAGCGGAGAGAGAAGGCGCTTGTGCAGAGGAGCGATTCCTACGAATAAAATTTCATCAAGTTCCTGGCATAGAATACCTTCTACACTGGCTACCTTCAACCTATCAATCGGACGGTCGAAGTTCGCCTAACATTCATCGTACGGTGCAAAGTACAACTGAATGTATAAGTCTCGCCTAGCTTACTCAGCAGTAACTAGACCGAGGACTTCTAACATGAAGCAGTAACTGAGGAGTGCTTGTTGAATTGCCCAGATTTGCACCCATGAGTTACGAATAAATCAAGGTCTTCCGAAACGTGACTTTGACTTTTATTCCCTCCGACCAACAACTACAGTAGGAACGTCATTGTCTTGTTTGAGTTTTGCAGGCGCAGGGCATAAGAGGAGAAAAGGTGCCAGCGGTTTCCCTTCAGGAGCTCAGAAAGCTGGATCCAATCTTTTCAAACGAGTAGCTATTTGGGTCCCTTACCGGAGGGGTTTATCGCAAACTTCCAACTTCCATGGCAACTATTGGGCTAGCTACTGAATAACCGAGCTGCGGATCGGGATATGACCCCTGAAGATCTGAACGAGGTTCGGCAGAAAACCTAGGCAGACTCTGACGCCCCAGTCAGGCTCTTCTGAAAAACGGACTCAAACAGTGATGTCCCAGTACGGGGTCGTTCTTGCCAGTGGTTTCGAGAAAGATATGGGGCACCAAGGTAGCGGCATTTCGAAAGCGATTGATCGGCAGGCAGCATAGCTACAGAAGGAACTTGACGGGCCTGAATAGGATTCCGGCCCGTATTGGAATCAGAGGCATCCACGAAGATCTGGGGAAGAGCGACTCGGAGCTACCCCACAAGTGAGACCTTATCACAACCGTTAACCACCAGTACAGACATTGAAAGGGCATGTTTCCATTTGTAAGCTGGTTGACGTCAACCGTTGAACAGGAATCGCCGTGAGCGTGTTATGAAGCACGACTATCCTAAACCAATGACCTAACTGCCTCTAACCCTAGCCAGAGCCATTGACCGGGCAGCCTGACACGCTTTCCGACGTGGCGGCCGGCCGCGTGGACCCTAGCGCGCACGTGCACACCAAACAGATTGACGGGACTTAATCTCGGGCCGGGACAAGCTAGCTGCCGTCAGCTTGTGAAATGCTGAAACGTATGGATCACTTTTGTCAAAGACGGCGGAGCAAAAGCAGGGTGAGAAGAAAGGAGAGCTCGGGTGAGGGATCCCGACGGCCACGGATCTCCGCAGCCCGAGAGCTATTCGGCGCAGAAATCTGACGCTTTGTTTGATCTCTGCGTCGAGGCCTCTTACTTCGGGCTAGTCCAGTTCGTGCCCACTATTCGGCCGCGAGATGCTATGATCCTGCCCCCCTTCGGCTTCGATTTCAGGGCAGCGCTCTATGCGTCGTCCGAAAGCCTATAGCTGCCTGTGTACAATGCATCAGTGTACATTCTGAAATCTGGCAGTGTACATTCTGAAACCTGGTGCTATAAAGTAAAGGTCCCAAAAGGAGAGCTAATCAGCGAACAGGCAGCAGGCGAAGAGCATTATGTGCGAAGTACCTTCAGGTGCATGCCCTCAGACGTAAAGGGATGATATTAGGAAACGCTCTTCGAAACAAATCTGGACGCTGTACACTTTGCAAAACATAGGAAGAGGCAAATTGGCAGACCCTCTTCTTCGAGGGGAGAATGAGGAGCGCCCTTCAGCAACTACTGTCCTCGTTTTCGAGGCGACCACGATACATTGGGCTTATCTGACAAGCTTCGTTGGGACTAGGAGAAACCAGATCTGGACGGCATCGGTGATACGGCGGAAGTGCGCCTTTGAAAGAAGATGCGCCCTCTCTCAAAAGCTTTTACGTCAAAGCCGTTGCACACATTCTGCCTCAAACAAACAAACGAGACCATAGTCCGATGCTTCGCAAAGAACCGAAAATTCAGCAGCTTGCTGCGACGCCGTTGTGAAGTGCGCTTCGTGAAAGTGGCCACGTGAACAGGAGTGTCGACGGCCTTCCGTCACCACCGGGGCACCGGAGCAACTTGAACGCAATGACGGAACAGCGGCACAACCGAAACGGGACCACGTGCATCTGATAATCAAGCAGATTATCAAGTCGGTTTGGCTTTCTTAGCTGGATCGCATATTGCAAAGGACGAAACGATGTCGAACCCTTATGAACAACTCACTGTGCCCGGCTTCCTTGTGGCATTAGACTTGCTGCTAAACACGTTTGCAGAAGCGTAGGGCGTAGTGCTTTGATCTAATACGTCGAAGTATATAGCTTTCAGACAAGCGAATCCAATAAGGGTAGGATTGTGCGGGCAACACCACCATTGACGGGTCGAACTTGTAAGCAGAAGACCAGGTTGGCATCAGCGTAAAGAGGTACCACGGTGGTTTTTGTGGGAACATCTCCACGTGCACACGCATCGATCACAGCCGGAAGCAAAATAAATACCTTGCCGCTGATTGCAAACGTGGACCACTCTTGCCTCATCAGACAACGGATGCAGAAGACCCTATACAGGAGCTGGAACCCATACAAAGGTACTAATTTGGATTTCCAAATTCTGGCCGCCTCAATCAGGTGCACCTTGGACTCCTCTTGACAAGTTTTCTCCTTCTCAACATGGAGTCCCCGTTATCACGGCCATGCTTGAATTAGAAAATAAACAATCATAAATGCTTAGATCTTCAGTTTTGCTTGACCTCTCTTCCAGTTCTCGACTCACGGCGTACACGAGCACTGGTTGGCGTACACAACAGAGACGAGAGAAACTATGGAGACGCAGAGTGCTTTTGACCATCCGAGTCAGGCGGCCTCCTTCTGAAACTGTTGAACGGCTTCAGAGACTGAATTGAGACGCGAAGCGCCGATTCTCAAAACTTTCACGCGTCACAGCCGTTGTGCAGAACGTGGCAAATCTCTCCCCGGCTGAAAGAGTCCACCCAACGTGCATGATCATTCTGGGCACCATAAAGGCGAGCGGCTCGACTCATGCCGCGCGCCCGGCCCCGGGGGCGACGCACCGCAAGGCTTCCGCCGCCCGACGTTTCCCACAGATCGGTCGACGGACGCGCGCGCGCGCCCGCTAAGAGGGGGAACTAGGTCGATGGGCTGACAAAAGCGAGCTGTCGTTGAGTCGTCGAGACCGCTCCGAAACGGTAGTTGATGTTAACGTGCGGAGTAAAAGAACGCCAAGCGAGGGAGAGCTCCGGTGAGGCCACAACAACAGAAAAGCCGTCTTGAATTTTGGTGATGGCCAAAGCTGACCAGAAACCACCCCCCTCGCAGATTGAAGCAAAGCCTTTGGCGAACATATCATGGCCGCAAGCGCCTTTGCAGGCTCATGTACGCCAAGCACCGGAAGCTCCAGATAGCGGCGCAAAAGGGCACAAGGTTGCGACCAAAGATAGGTTCAAAAAAGTTCCACTTGTAGCTTCGTCACTTCTTTATAAGCATATCTTTTGAAAGTGGCGCATACAGCACCGGTCCATCGACTCTGGTATGTGGAACCCTGCAAAAATCTTTGGAAGGGAGGTTGCAAAGATGGAGACATTTGGAGTCCATCTCCAGCATCCATGTGAAGGGGCTCCGGTTTGATCGGTTTCGAAACCTTCAAACTCAACCTGGCAGTATGACAATGCCAAAGCAAGGTCCAAACATCCTCCCCGCCACCTGGCTCTCCCGTCGGGGATTGAAAGAACGATGTCCAGGACAATTGTATACAATATAGCTGCTGATCCTGAGACCAACTGATTGATTTGTCCTCCCACCACCTCAAACCACAGAGATCGAACCTGCCCTCCGGATCCAAAACAGCACAAGCCTTCCTTCTTGTCCTCTGACTTTTCTATGATTGCGTTGGCTCAAAAAGATTTCTGAGAGGATTAGCGCACTTTGTGACGCCACATCATTCCTCTTCTTGCCAATCGAGTTCAAATTGATGAATACCGAGCCACCATGCAACGTTCTTCCCATAACCTAGCAACAACCAGGAGAGCCCATGGAAGACAAAACCTGCCACTTAGAACCTGGACTCGGACTTTGTCGTTCACTTATTTTGCTGCACCTGAAGTGTTTCTCGTCTGGGGACTTGTGCCGGACACTAGCTGCATGTGCAGGTGATACGAGTTATCATGACAAGGATTGGGGAAAATTTGTATACGACGTGTGCCAATCAACGTCCAATATCCGTGGCGCGAATTTAGCATCTCAACGTCTTAGAAGAAGTGCGCTTCGGTTTCATTATTAGTTTAGCCAGTACGCAGAGCTGGTTCCAGCAAGCCACATCAGTCATCAGTTCCAAGCATCAAGTTGTACGCCACGTGGGAGCGAAAGTCATAAATCTGGGAGCACCAAGTTGCATTGCATGGTTTGAGCGATCTACTATACGAGACACCGGAGCGCAAAGCGAGTCGAACCTTTGACTAAGTTCCCTGCCACTATCTGTCCTGCGCCAAAGATGCTCCTCACAGCAGATCGATCGTAAAATCACGCAGCAAGAGGGTGACACCCGAAATCCGTCCTGGCCGATTG